AGAAATAGATTTCTATGCTGTAAGTTATCTCATGCATTCCACTGGCAGTGGTTTGTGCGTGTAGGTATCCTGTCTGACTTTCCAGCTGTGAAAATTGAAGATGCCCCCCAATATAATGTCCCCATCCTTAAATAGCTGTGGGTTGTCATTATCCCCTCTACGCTGGCACATCGGCTCCTCAGCATGAGAGAAAGACATCACCACCAATAACAGTTGTAAAAGTGCCCAGCCCCACTCAGGCCACCTCTGTGTGGAGGTCATAATGTCTGAGAGAACTAAACCACTGGGTGGCATCACATGTATTGTAATGAAAATGAAAAGCATGCACTGGTATTTATACATTTTGGATTGGCATAAAAAATAAAAATAGAACAATGATGTTTCATCTCAGTTAACCTTCAAAGTGAGGGAGAGCAAGGACTGAAAAAACAGGCTGAGGTTGTAACTTATTATACCATCAGATACAAATAATATGGCATGGGGGAGATGTTCCGGGGTGAGGCCTAGTTGTTCCACCAGGGCCAGGTCCATAAGATTACCCCCGGCTCCGGAGTCCAGGAGGGCTTAGTGGGAGGACGTCTGACCAGCAGTCTCCAGGAGCATGGGGAGGAGGCCCGGGTGGAAGCAGAGGGGCGGCCCGTCACTGTCCCCACCTTGTGGTAGTGGGAACGGGGCAGGACCCAATAAATATGTCTGGAGACTGGAGAGTAGCTTCAAAGAATTCTTTATTTCATGCATGGAGAGAAGTCATACACAGCTTTGCCGCTGCACAGAGTTCTTTGAGGGACTGATAAAGGGACAGTCCCTTTATACCAGAGTGATACAATACACATCCATGAAACTCATAACGTTATCGCTTTGGTTATTTTAATGCATTTGTTTCCCTTGCTTATATATCTTACAGCTGTAATGAAGCAGAATCTGCTTACTTTGAATGCTGTAAGTTCTGTGTAGAGACTAGATGTCTGCATCTCTTTGTGACCAGACAGCCAATTCACATTTTAACAAAGACAAGTTGGCTTGTTTTGCACCCACACCTAGACCCACTTAGCATATTCCAAGTTCTGCTTTATCTTGGGATGTCCTGCAGAGACCGGGGGCCCACAACCTGAGATGACCACCTGGCCAGTTTAACATACAAATTAGCATCACACACACACACACACACACACCTGGTGTAGATCACATTCCAGCAAGGAGGTGTGAGCTCCAGCTCACCAAATGACCAACAGGATTACAATGCATGAATTGTTGTACCTTTGTTTAGTGCAGAGCAGCTCAAGAAGACAAAATGTATTGTAATACCTTAATTCGGGGTCCGTTTTTCGGGGTCTAGACAGGTACGCCCTAACTCCATCGGTTCATCCATTCGTCCGTGAGAGGATGTGTTGGCCCCCCCATGCGGGGAGGCCCCCGGGCCTCGGAGGGTTGCGATGGCATGCAGCGAGTTGAATGAGAACTGTTACAATGCATAACAGTTGTCTCTGCCTTCTCACAGTGGCAGCAAGGTTCTGTGGGAGGTATGGCTGCACCTGCCTTTAGATAGGACCTGTCGCAGGAGAGGTGGTGTGCTGCTTGGGCCACTATTGTTGGCCATGGCATTAAGGCGTATTGTTTTTTAGAGGGCTACGCCTATACAAAATAGAACGATGGTTACATACCATAACCCAAAGTTTTATGAGTATAGGTGTAGCCCTCTAAGCTAGCAGCCCTGCTGATGCCATCTCCACCAGCTGAAGAAAAAGCGCTGGCATAAGGAGTAGAGCTCAGGTCACAGGACGTGAAAGAAATCTCTTCAGGACTGCACATGTGTGAGGAGATAAACCCAATAGTGACATTTCTTTGAGGGCTACACCTATACTCATAGAGGCAAGGTTTATGGTACGTAACCATCATTTTGTATAACACTGGTCAGCTATCAAACTACTATCTGGAACCAGTCAGAAATGCGTCTTAGGTATGTGGCCTTCATGTCTATCTTTTAGGATTAGGCAGCTGGGCCTAAACAGTATGCATCAGGCTATGTGTTTGCGTCAGTAGAGACTGGGTGTGTGTGTATTAAGTGTGCATGTGTGTGTAGATGTGTATAAAAACTGTCTGTGAGGAATGTATGAGAAAATAGATGAAACACAAGGTTAAACACTACAAATATATAAATAGCATGAGTATTCAGAAGCACGGGTATTTATATTCCATCACAATTCATTCTAAAGTAACATAGCACTTGTATATATTCCAGCAATCAAAAACCTTCCCTATAAAATGTATTTGCATTTGCAGTTTAGAAGCATAGGAATATAATTTTAGAGAGAGGGTAGGCTGATTTGTCCTCATAAACTGAAAATAAATTCAAAATATTCAGTATTACAAATTATCAAATTATAACAAAAATAATAATCATGGTATACAATAAACACACAGGGGGCTTTTTCTTTATATCACATTCTAAGTAGCTGAGTGTAAGTAAGTTTTCAAAATGGCTTTGATTCCCCCTTCTCCATCATATTCTTTTTTGTATTTTTCACAGGTTTCATTAAGATAATATAACATTTTGGAATGAAAATACAAATGAGCAGTCCAGAACTAGAGGCCAAAATAGCAAATATCTCTACAGCAACACTGAACTTCCCAGGAGAGCTGACATATGCTGGAATAAAAGTGATCCACACTGCACAGAATATCCAAAAGCCTACAGCTGATCCCAGAGCACACTCTAAGATGATTTTGTCCTTGAACTGGGTAAAATTCTTAAATGGAAAAGGAGGAGAAATAGTTAACCAGAGGATACATATAACAACCTGGATGAGAGTGAAAGCCACAACACTGAGTCTCTGCTGTGCAGGCCCAAACCATTTCATCACATTACTGCCTGGAAGTGTAGCCCTGAAGGCCATTAACACCACTATAGTTTTCCCCAGAACACAAGAGATACAGAGGACAAAGGTGATGCCGAATGCTGTGTGTCGCAGCATGCAGGACCACTCAGAGGGCCGGCCGATGAAGGTCAGAGAACACAGGAAACACAGAGTCAAGGAGAAGAGCAGCAGGAAGCTCAGCTCAGAGTTGTTGGCCCTGACAATAGGAGTTGTCCTGTATGTGAAGAAAATGGCTGCCACAACAACAGTCATGCATGTTCCAAATAAGGCCACTGCAGTGAGCAGTACTCATATGATAGAAACTCTGCCTCCTTCTTTACACAGACATCTCTTCTGTCATTGGACCAGGACTCAGGGTGGCATCATTCACAGGTGATAGAATCTGAAAGATTACATGAAAGCAGACTTAAAACTTGCAAAGTCATTTTATCATTCTTTTTTATTTTTCATCATTTATGTGCAAACAAGACAGACACTACATGATTACATGTTAATAAATGGATATCTTGTGACAGGTACATGGCATACTTAATTATTTAGATAGTTTCATAACATTTTACTAATTTAATTTTTATAGCATCTGTATATTCAATTTAAGAAATTACTTTTATGTAGTAATTTCTGACACTGTGACTCGTACATGTAACAAATAAAATTTGTAAGATGACAAATCATGCCAATATCCCTCCCTTCCCTTCATATGAATGTGAACCATGATGGTTTGAGCATGAAATGGATGACACAACACATTCTGCCCCAAATGCCCCAGGACTTTGTTATTGTTCTATAAACAGTGTGACTGGAATATTTAGCACACAGTAGAGTTGCATATTCATTCTACACTGGGGCTTTAACTTTGAAATGCACATGGACACACATTTATTAAAACTGCCATGTAAACATAACTGCTTTAAGAATTTTGTTTTGTGGCACAATGAAGTGCCAAATGTTGAATTTTACTGGACCTGTAATGTTGCTTATTTCTCCCTCTGCACATCTGACACAGTCATAGCAGCAGACAGGTTTTCCTTTCTGGAGAACCTTGCGAGTTCCTGGGGGACATTTCTCACTGCAAACTGACACAGGCACCTGCATGGAAAAAATTACACTGAGAAAAATGTATGGGCACTGACTTTCTAAAGATTTAATCTTTGCAAACCCCGGATGTTAACTATTAACAGAGACTTGTTTTGACATGACAACATGGTGCCCTGCGAGACAGACGTGTTTGCGCGTTCCACTCTCAAATGCTGGTTTTTTCTTCTTCTTTTTTATGTGTCTTTTTTTTTTTTTTACTCTTTCTGCAGTGCCAAATGTCATGCACTGCTAACATACAACAGACAGGCATTGCTGGATATTACCAACTCACACAGTCACTGGGAATTTACTGGTTTCATACCACTGGTGCTACAACGCATTGTTTGCTCCCGCAATAACAACCACCATCACCCCCAGGCATGAGCGAGCAGGCTGAAATCAGGAGAGCGACCTGGAGACGGGGATGTAACTGGGGCAAGAGAGGAGGGCTCCATGCTAAGCTAAAAGCTCGCGCTACCCGACCGCCACTACCCAGCCTCTTCCTAGCTAACGTACAGTCAAATGATTCAAAGACAGGTGACGACTCTCACCGATACTGGGCTATAACAACTCAGTCGTTAAGGGACATTGTTGGCCTTCAAAGGACTGAAACACCACCGAGGGGGATAAATATCTCCAGCTCAACACCAGTCAGTCAGAACTGATGAAGCCTCTTGGATGAGAGGTGAAATGTCTTCGACCTAGAAATCTAGTCCAGTTGATTAATTTGATGATGTTTTTACCAAATAATTGATCAATCATCAATCACATTAGAAACTGGTGAAAAGCAGCAGCCACTGCATCTCAGAGTCCCTAGTGATGTCTTATTTGGTCCCAAGATGCAAAATATTACATTTACTGTAACATAAGAGCAAGAAGAGCAGCATTCTGTTTAGAGCTTTGAAACAACACGTTTTATTCTTAAAAGATTATTTGATTTTCTCTCAGTGGATAAATCGATTACAGGTTGCAGCTCTGATCTGGACCAGTCTGCTTAATGCTTCCAGGTCTGGTTCAGTAAACAGGTTAGAGGTCAGCTGGGGTCAGCCCTGCAGCAGCACGACTGCAACTTCTCTGCTGTGCCTCTGGGCCTCATGTAGAGGAGAGCTCCCCCACCTGGACCAAAGACAAAACTGCATCAGACACTGCACACATGGAAGTACTGTAGTATCACAGTGTAGTAATACTCTGTTCCAAGGATACATATTTAAATTCAAAAGTGTTAATGACAAAACACGCTACAAAGTAGTCCCAGTAAATGTAGATGAAATGGGGGCAGTGGGAGTGTTTCCTGCCTTCGAAACAGCCAACACTAAGGTGTCCGACTACAATCTCTCTACACTCACTTCTACCACAAACTGCTCATCATGGAAGTGCAACGTTAAATCCCTGCAGCTTTCTTTTAAGGCAGGTGGACCTGTCAGAACAGCCACAAGCTGTGTCCACAGCAGAGTGTGTTGAAGGTTATTACAGCAAGTGTGTGTATGTGCTGGATGGAAAACGACAGTCGTCTTGCAGCAGCAGGCCCAGTGCAGCGTTCATGTCTGTCTTGTCTTTGAAAACACTGAACCAGAGCAGTGTGGACAGGGACACAGGAGGAGACATGAGATGGTACTGACCATCAGTAGAAGTATCTGTACCTTCTTCTCTTGCAGGTAGAAGGACAGAGCGTGGAGTCTGAAATTGGCTGTCCTGTTGCTCTGATAACTAAAGATCACACAGAAACCACAGGACAAATGTCACCAGTAAAAACCTCCCTGTGCAGGTCAACTACATCCTCCATCTTCTGTTTGGTTTGGAACACTAGCTTTACTGAAATCTACAAAATGTGAAATGTTCAGGCATAGGTTCAATAGCCCAGCAAATTGATGAGCAAATATACACTTTACACTTTCAGAACATCATTACTTTTACCAGAATACCTCTGTATGTGCAGTACTACTGTAGCAAATATTCTTACTGTAGTTTGTAAATCAGTATTTTTTTCTAAGCATCTACAGTAAATACATTTCCCAAAATCAAGAAATTTACTACATTTTTGTTAATAATTAATCAATCCCAATTTTATTAGCACAAATATGATGTGATTACGTTATAGTGTGGGGAACAGAAAATGGAAATACTCGAGTAAAGTACAAGTACTACAGTACAAAGGGTGCTAAACATTCCCCATTGAGGCTTTTACTTTGAAAAAAGTACCGGAAGTGAATATTTTGAAAAGCGGAAATGACGATGTTTACATTATTAGCATTTCTAAGCTAACAGTTAGCAGGTGAACAGGTATCGCCTAGATGCTTTCCCGGTCAGGTTTAACTGTAACCGGTATCTATGTAAAGTCTTCCCCATCTTTTCAGTCATTCAGAGTAACCTCGGTAACGTTAAGCCGTTTGTGTGACGTCGTCCCAGTGGTCAGCTGTCCGTTGACCGTGCTCTCCCGGTACACACAGCCTGCTTTGCCCGGTGTTTGCAGCTTCCGTGGTTACTGCGGACAGATGCCCAAAAAACAGAAAAGGGTGACTTGTTAAATTTTATTACATGTCCCTCCTCTCTCTCTGCCTCATACTGATCTGATTTAACATACCTACTAATGATACATATTTTGTTCTTCTTTTACGTTATAGCTACGTAACAGCTCGTTTATGTACTTGTTTCTACATAAAGGACATAGACTCTGGTAAAGCAACAGTCACTTGTAACTTTGGTGCAGGTTTTCCTGTCATGCCATGAAATCCTAACATTTATAATTTGAATTTTAAATATGACAAGGGACAGTTTTGGAATAAGATGTGCTTATATATTAAAGATATGATGTGATTTTTTTATAGCCTATCTCTGCTGGTTAAAACCGTCTGTACTCTCACCTGTGAAGCCTCTGAGTCTCTGCCTCAGATTTCTGATGGTGGAAGAAATTTTTATTTTATTTCCTCCATTTCATGTATAATTTCACAGTCAAAGTTTTAAAATAAGTGTAAGTAGCCTATAAGGTCTCTACACAGTTAATTAGTACGTGTCCTATGAGTAAGGAGTACAGAGGTTGACATATCTGTCCTTTAAGATCAGAGGACATTTGTCTGTACGTTAGTACTATGTAAATGTTGTGTGCATTCCGGGTGCAGCCGGTTCTTTTCTTATTAATTCAAGTCAATTCTTATTTGTATAATGCCAAATCACAACAAAAGTTGTCGCAGGACACGTTACAAAGTCAGGTCTAGACCTTACTATTATTATTATAGAGGAAAAGCCCAACAAATCCCCCTTGAGCAGCACTTGGCAACAGCGGGGAGGAAACAAACTCCCTATATTATTACTATTATATTATTACACTGAGTATTTTAGAAATTTTTATGAATCAGTGTAATGTGCTTCTGGCACATGGTGAAAGACGAGTGTACAGTGTGATCGATTCTGAGCTTGAGTAAAACTGCTTTACATTTCTTTGTACCAGGTGAGAGGACAACTGGCCAGTGCTGGGGCAGCAGAGGCTGAAGCTTCCATTCCGGTGTCTCGGGACAAAAGCGGCTGTGTAACCATATTGGTGCATGCGAAGCCTGGCTCCAAACACAGCAGCATCACAGGTCGCCCTCACTCTATGGTGTCGCAGCTGACAGCGTCACACATAATTACAACATGACAGACAAGTTTGCCAAATCAAATTCTTTGTGCTGTGTCTCCACAGAGGTTTCTGCAGAGGCGGTGGGAGTGGCCATCGGAGCACCTCCAACAGATGGAGAAGCCAACACTGAGCTTATTCGCTACCTGGCCGAAGTTCTCCACCTGAAGAAAAGTCACATCTCTCTCGACAAGGTTCCTGAAACTTCTTAGCATTCATATCAGCTTTTAGAAACAGTGTTTTGTCCTGTGGCTTGAAGGCATGTTCAGTCCTACCTCCTTCACCCTGAATGCTCATCTTCTTTATCCTGACTCTTCCTCTTTCTTTATCTCTTTGATGTTGTTTACTTTAACAACTTCCCATGTTGCATTTCGGCTGTCATGCTGTTGTTTGCCTCCTTTACACAATTTATCGTGACTTGTTGGATGTCCTTAACCTGCTGGAATTTCCCTCCCATCTCCCCTAGGGCTCCAGGTCCAGAGACAAACTGATCCGAGTGGACTCCTGCCTCAGTCCAGAGGAGGTACTGACCAGACTCAGACAGGCTGCAGGCTGACAGGCGGGAGAAGGAAGTGGAGGGAGGCTAAAATGGCTGCAGGGCAACAGGAGGATGGAGGCTTCTATTACAGTCATTACCACAGATCAGAATTGTCAGTATTTGCAAGGTGTGACCATAAAATCATGAAAATTAAACAGTAATATCGAAGCGTAATGCTGTCCTTTGTACCACATGCATGCCTGTCTGGACCAGTACAGTTACTGGGACACTTGAAGAACCAGAACATCACTAAGGAAATAGAGCAGATCTGTGTTTCCACCCCTGGACCCCATGGAGCGTCAGGAGGCAAAGAGAATAAATAGACTGGACATGAAGTTTGCATGTGGTTAAATGACCTGTGGCTTTAAATGTTACCATGTTTGTCTTAGATTTGGTGTCTTCTCCAAAGTTTGATTAAAGGTAAAATGAACGATCTACAAGGTTCAGAAAGGAAGTGATTTATGTTGCATTGTGTATGTTTATTTTAAAATATATTTCAAATATAAATGAATAGAAGTGCTACTGAAAAACACATCACTATTTTTCACATATCTGAGATATTTACTAGCTCATATGAAATGAAAAATACTTCTGTGGACACAGCTGCAAGCAGGCAGTAGCTGGCACCATGTTAACGTGTAACTCGGTGGTTAGATCCGCAGGAAGCGAAGGCTGGAGCTCTTCACTGGGAAAAACAAGTATAGCTCATGTATAAGGGTTTCTGATCAGATAAAGGACATTAACTGAGACTGTTCAACACAGGAGGCAGAGGGGAAAATATGTGCTCATGGACCTGATGTACCTCTTGTCTTGTACCTTTCAGAAAGAAGACAGGCGCATCCATCCCACTCGGGCCTGCAAACATGAGTCCCCTGGGCCCCACATGATACTAAATGCCACACATGAGCACATCCTAACTCCGGACGGACAAGAACAGCCCATCAGTCATGGACCACAGAATCAGAGTGCAATCAGTCAGTTGAGCAGTAATGAGCTTGGTGTTGTCGAGGTGAAGCTAAAAGGCTTCAAAGAGACAGAGACTCAGTGATAGATGATGACTCTGCATCAAACACCTCAGCTTTCATGAAACTGCTGCGTTTTACTTTAGATTCCCAATCTGTGCAAACTTAACTTTTTGCTTGTCAGGATCTGTGCAGCAGAGGAAGGATTGTTTGCACTACTGTTACAGCATTACAAAAAAATTACTTGTGAGTCTGTTCTCAAAGGATACTCGTTTAGGCTGCTTTCTGCTACTAACTGAAGTGTCATGGTGTGTCTCTACTGATCCTGGATTAGCAACTGACTCCTGCTGCAGCACCTGTCAGGCTGAAGGATGTCTGAAAGTAGGGAAGATCCCTGCCATTGTGGTGAAGTGATATACAGTGCCTTGCGAAAGTATTCGGCCCCCTTGAACTTTGCGACCTTTTACCACATTTCAGGCTTCAAACATAAAGATATAAAACTGTAATTTTTTTGTGAAGAATCAACAACAAGTGGGACACAATCATGAAGTGGAACGAAATTTATTGGATATTTCAAACTTTTTTAACAAATAAAAAACTGAAAAATTGGCCGTGCAAAATTATTCAGCCCCCTTAAGTTAATACTTTGTAGCGCCACCTTTTGCTGCGATTACAGCTGTAAGTCACTTGGGGTATGTCTCTATCAGTTTTGCACATCAAGAGACTTAAATTTTGCCCATTCCTCCTTGCAAAACAGCTCGAGCTCAGTGAGGTTGGATAGAGAGCGTTTGTGAACAGCAGTTTTCAGTTCTTTCCACAGATTCTCGAGTGGATTCAGGTCTGGACTTTGACTTGGCCATTCTAACACCTGGATATGTTTAGTTTTGAACCATTCCATTGTAGATTTTGCTTTATGTTTTGGATCATTGTCTTGTTGGAAGACAAATCTCCGTCCCAGTATCAGGTCTTTTGCAGACTCCATCAGGTTTCCTTCCAGAATGGTCCTGTATTTGGCTCCATCCATCTTCCCATCAATTTGAACCATCTTCCCTGTCCCACCTGGGAGACACACCAAACATGTGGAAGAAGGTGCTCTGGTCAGATGAAACCAAAATTGAACTTTTTGGCAACAATGCAAAACGTTATGTTTGGCGTAAAAGCAACACAGCTCATCACCTTGAACACACCATCCCCACTGTCAAACATGGTGGTGGCAGCATCGTGGTTTGGGCCTGCTTTTCTTCAGCAGGGGCAGGGAAGATGGTTAAAATTGATGGGAAGATGGATGGAGCCAAATACAGGACTATTCTGGAAGGAAACCTGATGGAGTCTGCAGAAGACCTGAGACTGGGATGGAGATTTGTCTTCCAACAAGACAATGATTCAAAACATAAAGCAAAATCTACAATGGAATGGTTCACAAATAAACATATCCAGGTGTTAGAATGGCCAAGTCAAAGTCCAGACCTGAATCCAATTGAGAATCTGTGGAAAGAACTGAAAACTGCTGTTCACAAATGCTCTCCATCCAACCTCACTGAGCTTGAGCTGTTTTGCAAGGAGGAATGGGCAAAAATTTCCGTCTCTCGATGTGCAAAACTGATAGAGACATACCCCAAGCGACTTACAGCTGTAATCGCAGCAAAAGGTGGCGCTACAAAGTATTAACTTAAGGGGGCTGAATAATTTTGCACGCCCAATTTTTCAGTTTTTTATTTGTTAAAAAAGTTTGAAATATCCAATAAATTTTGTTCCACTTCATGATTGTGTCCCATTTGTTGTTGATTCTTCACAAAAAAATACAGTTTTATATCTTTATGTTTGAAGCCTGAAATGTGGTAAAAGGTCGCAAAGTTCAAGGGGGCCGAATACTTTCGCAAGGCACTGTAAAGAGACAGTGTTTTACTTATCCTTGTCTGGCTCTATAATTGAGTTGACCCCTCGACATTATCGGCAGTTTCAGTCGTTGATTCCTGACAGTAAATCTACAAATAAAAATCTAACATCTAAAAATATATCACCACAAATTAAATAGAAAATAGTATCCACCCTGGCCATTTACCAAGGACGACAACAGGTGTGGAAGATCGGCAATGCTCAGCCCCAGAGTCCCAAAATGCGTCTGAGTGTCAGTGAGGATAGTCACCTGATCATCATCAATGTTGGTCAAACAATCTTAATCAAGCCATAATGTTACTAATGAAACATCTGTATACTACAGATATATGTGCAAGTGTCATTTTAACCTGATGCAACTCAATAATTCATAGATGGAAAGATGAGACAAATAAAAGTAAGCAGTGCAGCACTGTGTGTGATGTCTGACAGGCTCATTTTAACTTTATACTCTGAGGGGGTGGTGTCAGGGGCCACATCCTAGTTTGACATCAGTTTTCTTATTAAAATCTTGGTTCTGTGCAGCTGCATCAGTCAAGATGAGGTTATAAAAAAAAATCTTTTTTTGTACAAAACTTTGCCATAATCTGTTTTCTGTAGATGAATGCAGTTCACAGTTACAGATGAAATGATGACTGATCTCAAGACTGTGTTCCTCTAGATTTGCTACCTTTCACCTCAGTTGACTAAGTTGGCCTTTTGAATTGACATGAGGAAGCACACATGTAAATCAGTGGGGTGTTATATAACATCTTACCGCCTCATCTAGAGGTGTATAAAAGTTTGGGCACAAACTCTTGTGTCACAGCAGTCTGCAGATTTATCTCTTAGATGCATTGTGAAATCCATCAGCGTACAAATTAGTTTGGTGCATTTGATCATTAAAAACTGGACCAGGACAACATCAAAGCCTCTAAGTGGGGCAATAATATCTGGATTTGTATATTCTTTTTCTAAATTGGCAACTTTAGTTGCGCTCCCTTGCAAAACAAATTTTAAAGTGCATCAGGACCAGAGTTGTGATTTACATCAAGTCAGTGCACAATGAAAATGGTCACACAATCAGGTGAATGTATACACACTTAGTTTCTTTGAGCACAGAATTTGTTTTTCGGTGAACACAGATGCACCGAACTATATATCCCGAGCTCAAAGCCAGGATAAACAGGTTCAGTGAATGTGGTGTTGAAGGTGTGGAGGTGGATCCGTTCACTGGAGGAGATGACACTGTAGAAGGACAGAGTGCCAGCAGGACAGTCCACATACACTGCTACTCTGTTGGAGCCCACTGTGACCTTTTGTCTCCACTTGTCATGATAAATGCTTTCATCATAGCAGCTCAGACTCCAGGACTGATTGTTCCATCCAAACCTGCTGTCAAAACTGTTTCCTTTCCTGTTGATTGCTCTGTAGCACACTGCTATTTGAACGTCTCCTTCCCACATCACCTCCCAGTAACAGCGACCAGTTACACCAGTTCTACACAGCAGCTGTTCCCAGAAGTCAAACCTGTCAGGGTGATCTGGATAGGACAGCCGATCCCCAACATGTGTGACTGTCCTGTTGTTGCTGAACAGTTGGAGTTGTCTGTTTATTGTGTTTGGGTTCACTTTCAGTTCACAGAAATCTGATGGAGAAGACAACATGGCTGCTGAATTTTTAATTCCAACAACGTGGTCTGGGTTAGTCAGTACATCTGAGATATATTTGGCACTCTCTAGTACAGTACCTCACTGGTCTGACTCATACTTGTCAGGAAGAATGTTTTTCTTTTTTCTTCATTTTCAGTTAGTTTGAGTGATTTTGTGTATTAGGTGTTTAATGCTGTTTAAGGTGTTCCACAAGGAAACATTCAGTCTGAGCAGATTCAGTCTGATTTTAGCCCCAAATTGGTTGCCTGCCACCAGTTTTAAAGCTGGACCAAATTTCTGTCAGACTGAGTGTGGTGTTTTTTGGGCATAAAAACCTGTGCCAAATCTCCTATGCTCTTTGAGCAGTTATGAAGTTGATTTCCAAGTCTAGTCAGCAGGCAGAGTCAGAGCTCGAGGCCTGCTTTGACTGCACAGGCTGGAATGTATTTGAGGCTGCATCTGCAGACCTGGATGAACTTGCTGTCGCTGTGATGTCATATATCAGCCTGTGAGGACGTGTGTGCACCCACCAAGACCTTAACCATGATTGTGATTCTGATCAATACAGCTGCTGTCAAACAGTCTGTTACAAAACTGTAGCCAATTAGTTTTAACATTTATACAGTAATACGTCCTAAACCACAGTATAATTCTGACTGATCTGTTACATAAATGTGCTTTGTTCTATCTGCAGTGGCCTGTTTTCCTTTTTTAGTTCTTTATGTTAATAATGGAATCACAGAAGGTACTACTGGCATTCTCTCTTTTTGTCAACATAGTGGAGGGTGTGGTCATGTGGTGGGAATAGGCTACTGGAATAGTCAGTACTGCAGGTTCAGTGTTTATGTTCAGCAATTTTCAAGTTGGTCAAAATTGCTTTTTCATCCTCATTCAGTGTCTGACAACAAACATACAAATGAGAGGAGTTATAAGGTGAATTCGGCTACATTAATAAAACACTGAGTGATCACTGAGCGGAAGGAGACTAAACGCAGGTTTAACACAACAGTGTGACTGTGGCAGCGAAGTCAAGAACTTTATCATCTACAACTTTTTCTGTCATTTTCAATATACAATATAGCCGATTAGTTGTTTTCTTGAACCTGGACTTTCCATCATAAAATAAAGATTTGATCTGCCTGTAGTCTGTCTCCCTCCTTATAAGAGTGTGGCTGGGATGTAACCTTGTTGCTTAACAAGTGAAAAGAGAATGAAGAAGAGTTTATCGGTTTTTATGTTTGGTTATTCATTGATTTTAACGTTAAAACTAATTTTAAAAGTTAGACAGCTGCATATAGACTTACACCTCTCTGGAACAGGTTTGAGCCTCTGCTTTCCACAATGCTCCAACCTGCGGGAACAAACACATTTTGTTTATGACCTGGAAACAGGAACATATAATAACTTTCTTTTTTAATAATTAGCATGAGTCCTAGCTGTTGTTCAGTTCTGTTCTGTGTTCATACTGGAGCAAGTCCAGTCTCCAGTGTGGATCCTCCAGTCCTGCCATGAGCAGCTTCACTCCTGAGTCTCCTGGATGATTGTAGCTTAGGTCCAGCTCTCTCAGATGGGAGGGGTTGGAGCCCAGAGCTGAGGCCAGAGAAGCACAACCTTCCTCTGTGATCACACAGCCTGACAGCCTGCATGCACACATGCACGTAACTCTTGTAGTTTATAAAACCAGCAATTAAATGATAAATGTAAACAACCAGCTGAACTCTGACCTGAGAGCTTCCAGTGTACAGAATGGACTCCCCAGTGTGCCAGACAGCAGTTTCACCCCTGCATCCTCCAGGTTGTTGTTACTCAGGTCCAGCTCTCTCAGCGTAGAGGACTGAGAGCCGAGAACAGAGGACAGTGCTCTACAGCTTCTCTTGGAGAGGTCACAGCTGCTCAATCTGTAGAGTAATTTTATTCAGTCCATTCTCATATTAATGAATAACAGCTCAAAGTAAATGCAGTTTAATTAATCAACGTGCATCTGTGGCTTGTCTCAGTGCGGAGTTTAATTTAGAGCATGCTAAAAGTGAGAGCAGAGTGAGATTCTTGAAAACCACCGAAGCCTACATCAATTAGCATCACATATCAGTGGTAAACAGGGCAAACAGGAAGTGCCGCTGGATGACTTGATGAACAAGGTCACCGGATCTTTTTGGTGACTGGAGTCAAGAGAACTGAGGCTTAAGATTACATCTACGACTGGTGACGGCTTTTTAGGGGCACCAACTCAAACCTCCCAACAAGAAGGGGTTCGAACCTGGTGGCCGACCAGGGCCTTTTTGAATCTGCATGCTCTCCCTGTGCCTTTGTGGGTTTCCTCTGAATACTTCAGCTTCCTAACACAGTGGAGACGTGCAGGTTAGCTTGGTTGGTGACTCTAAATTGTCCATGTGAATGTGAGTGGTTGTCTGCCTCTGTGTGTCAGCCCTGTGACCGACTGGTCACCTGTCCAGCTGTACCCTGCCTCTCTGTTATGGTTGGGTGCGGTGTGGACCCCAGATGCAGACACAGAAACTAGAAGGGAAAGAACTATAGAAAGCAGTTTATTAAACAAGAAACAGGTTATACTGAGTGCCCTGAGGTCAAGCAGGCTCAGGGCGGGGGTCAGGAGTCAGCATGAACAGTAGAGAAGTCCGGTAGAATCAGGAGGAGCTGGGTGAAGATCAGGGAGTGCATGTCAAGACCTGTAATCGGCAATGCACCAGCAGCGAATGAGTGGAAAACCGGGTATATAAGTATGAGGCAGGACTGGGAGATAATGAGTGGCAGGTGAATGGCATGATGGCTGATTATGGTGGCAGAAGAGTGGGGAGAGACGGGATTAATGCAACACAAATACAGAAAGCAAAGCTAAATCATAACACTCTCGCTCAATTCAGCTGGGACTTGCTCCAGCTCCCTCTTTACTCTTTAAGCTATATAGTTGATGAGTTGATAGTTTTTGTTTTTTTTGCTGCTTTTAAACAGTAGTGTGAGGCTAAATACAATCAGAAGCAAATAGTAAACTTTTCTTTATAAGGGACTTGACTCTTTATAAAGAGCAGCACACATGTACATGTAGAGTTACCCTCTACACATACGTATCTGAGCTCTGACCTGAGAGTCTCCAGTTTACATTGTGGACTCTTCAGTCCAGCAGACAACTGCCTCACTCCTGAATCCTGTATGTTGTTGTTACTCAGGTCCAGCTCTCTCAAACTGGAGCAGTGGGAGCTGAGAACTGAGGACAGAGCTTCACAACTTCTCACTGACAGGTTACAGATGGCCAGCCTAAAGAAAAAAATGAAGATATACTGTACACAGACAAAGGTTTTTTGCATCACAATAAAACATCACCTTTAATTAAAAAAGATCTACTTACAGAGCTTTGTTGGAGGCTCTGACCACAGGCAGCAGCCTCAGAAGAGCCTCCTCTGAAGCAGAGTATTTCTTTAAGTCAAACACATTCAGGTCTTCTGATGACCAAGCCGACCACTGAGCAGGAGGAAGATCATCTGTGGAGAGAGGTCCTAATCTCAGGGACTGTTGGACCTGCTCTACTAGAGACCAATCATTCAGTTCATTCAGACAGTTGAACAGGTTTATGCTTCTCTCTGGTGGCAGATCCTTGCTGATCTTCTTCTTCATGTATTGGACTGTTTTCTGATTGGTCAGTGAGCTTGTCTCTGTCTGTGTCAGCAGGCCTTGTAGGAGCATCTGACTGGTCTGCAGGGAAAGGCCCAGGAGGAAGCGGAGGAACAAGTCCAGGTGCCCATTTGGACTCTGTAAGGCCATGTCCACAGCTCTCTGGTAGAACACTCTGGGATCATTTGAATATGGCTCATAAACTGCATTGCATCCTGCCAGTGGATTCACCCCATCATTGATGAAGGAGACAGTGACATGAAGAGCAGCCAGAAACTCCTGAACACTCAGATGAATGAAGCAGAACACCTGGTCCTGGTACAGTCCTCTTTCCTCTATAAAGATCTGTGTGAACACTCCTGAGTACACGGAGGCTGCTCTGATATTGATGCCACACTCTGTCAGGTCTGACTCATAGAAGATCAGGTTGCCTTTCTGCAGCTGCTTAAAAGCCAGTTTTCCCAGAGACTCAATCATCTCTCTGTTCTGTGGACTCCAGTGTGAATCTGGCCCAGACCTTCCATGATACTTGGCATTGCTCAGTTTTAGCTGAACCACCAGGAAGTGGATGTACATCTCAGTCAGGGTCTTGGGCAGCTCTCCTCCCCCTCTGGTTTCCAACACAGCCTCCAGAACTGTAGCAGTGATCCAGCAGAAGACTGGGATGTGGCACATGATGTGGAGGCTTCGGGAACTCTCAATGTGGGAGATGATCCTGCTGGCCTGCTCCTCATCTCTGAACCTCTTCCTGAAGTACTGGTGCTTCTGAGGGTCAGTAAACCCTCTGACCTCTGTCACCATGTCCACACACTCAGGAGGGATCTGATTCGCTGCTGCAGGTCGTGTGGTTATCCAGAGGCCAGCAGAGGGAAGCAGGTTCCCCCTGATGAGGTTTGTCAGCAGCACATCCACTGAGGTGGACTCTGTGACATCAGTCAGGACAACAGTGCTGTGGAAATCCAGAGGAAGCTGACACTCGTCCAGACCGTCAAAGATGAAGACAACCTGGAACTCTTCAAAGCTGTAGATTCCTCTGGTTTCACTAAAAAAGTGATGAACCAGCTCCACCAGGCTGAACTTTTTCTCTCTCAGCATGTTAAGCTCTCTGAAAGTGAATGGAAATGTGAACTGGATGTTTTGGTTGTCTTTGCCTTCAGCCCAGTCCAGGGTGAACTTCTGTGTTAAGACTGTTTTCCCAATGCCAGCCACTCCCTTTGTCATCACTCTTCTGATTGGTCCATCTCTTCCAGGTGGGGGTTTAAAGATGTCTTCCTGTCTGATGGCTGTTTCTGGTGTGACTGGTTTCCTGAATGCTCTTTCCAACTGCCAGACCTCGTGTTCATCGTTGACCTCTCCGGTCCCTCCCTCTGTGATATAGAGCTCTGTGGAGACCTCCTTCAGACATATTGACTCTCCTGGCTTTCCAGTTCCTTCACTCAGTTCCTGAAATTTCATCTTCAGTCTGCATTTAAATTCTTGTTGGGACTTAGCAAGACTCTCTGAACAAATAAACACATGAGAAGATGTAATAACAAATGTGTGAAGTAAACACTTTGTGTCTCAACAGTGATGGATTCAGTGAGGTAAAAATGAGCTGTTGTAGGTGACTTATTAGCATGAAATGTAAATGTGTTATAAACTAGAGAGCAAACCAACATCTTAAATTGTGCATAAGTAGCACAACAGAACAGTAAACGACATCTCGAGCAGTCACTGAAAAACAAATATGGAATAAAAGGTTCAAACTGTAAATAAATTAATTAGTAATTATTTCCTGATAACGGAGCTACATCAGAACAGAATTTGAGATGCTATATTAAATATGGAGGTCAGTTCTCTTTTTACGTGAAGAAAATGTTTGATGGTAACACCGATATTATTTCTATATGATCAGTCTGACTGTATATATAAAGATGTACTAACTTGTTTCAAAAGACTACAGTGCTGCTGGTTATTAATGTGTTCATACAAAGCCCTTAATGACAAGGCTCCATCGTATCTTAAAGACCTCATAAAGCCTTATCATCCTAACAGAGCACCTCGGTCTCAGAGTGCAGGTTTACTGGTGGTTTCTAGAGTCCACAGAAGTAGAATGGGAGGCAGAGTCTTTAGCTATCAAGCTCCTCTCCTATGGAACCAACTCCCAGTCTCAGTCCGGGAGGCGGACACCCTCTTTACCTTTAAGATTAGACTTAAGACTTTCCTTTTTGATAAAGTCTATAGTTAGGGCTGGATCAGGTGACCCTGAGCCTTCCCTTAGCTATGCTGCTATAGGCCTAGGCTGCTGGGGGACCCCATGATGCTCTGAGTTTCTTTCCCCTCCCCTCCCCTCTCCTCTCCTCTCCTCTCCTCTCCTCTCCTCTCCTCTCCTCTCCTCTGAGGGGAGGGGAAAGAAACTCAGAGCATCATGGGGTCCCCCAGCAGCCTAGGCCTATAGCAGCATAGCTAAGGGAAGGCTCAGGGTCACCTGATCCAGCCCTAACTATAGACAGGAGAGAGTGACATGAAGAGCAGCCAGAAACTCCTGAACACTCAGATGAATGAAGAGCATAGGGAGAGGAGAGGAGAGGACAGTAGGTTGTAAACAGTGTGTCCTCTCTCTCTCTCCCTGTACCTTTCTGCAGGTTGCCCTGGCCCTGGAGCTCTAGGTCTCTGACAAGCAGTCCCCAGCCACATTGACCTGATCAGTGTTTGATTGTTTGTTGTGTCTTGTTGCTTTTCTTCTTTTGTCTCTCCTTTATCCACTCACCCCAACCGGTCGAGGCAGAAGGCCGCCCACCAGGAGCCGGGGTCTGTCGGAGGTTTCTTCCGTTAAAGGGAGTTTTTCCTCCCCACTGTCGCCAAGTGATGGCTCAAGGGTTTTTTTTGGGATTTTCCTCTATAATGATAACAATAATAGTAAGGTCTAGACCTTACTTTGTAAAGTGTCCTGAGATGACTTTTGTTGTGATTTGGCGCTATACAAATAAAATTTGATTTGATTTAATGTATCAGTTACCATCTCATCCTGTGGACACCCAACAGTGGAGATCGTTGTATAAACAGGTGAAGAAGGACAGTACGTTAAAACACAGCTATTATAATGTTAAACCTCTTAGATATGCTTACAGCTACATCTTAGTCTGTTAGAAACCTCTTAGTTACATCTATACATAAAGATTACACAGGACAAAGAGTGAGTCTGTTAATGCTTAGTAAGTGTAATATGAAAAATGCTTCTACCTTTTGATTCTAGCCTCTGTACCAGATCATTCATGTTGATCTTCTCTAGAATCTTGCTGGCGACTGCCACGGCGCAGGAGGGGTACATCTGCACCATCAGATCCACTGTGGTCATCCTGTCCGCCTGATTTAGTCTGAACTCTGGGATTGTTGGAACGTCTTCCAGGACGTTGGGTATTTGCAGGTACCACTGAAACGTCTTGAGATCTTCATCCTTTAAGCCCTCCAGTTGTTGTAAAAGCATCTCTTTATCTGATGCCATCTTTCTTTGCTGCTGAAATCAGAGGAAATTTCAACCTGGAGCACAGTGGAGCATTTTTTTCTACCAGGAATACACAAGTTTTACCTCACATGCTCATGTTGTGAGAGTTTTTAGTACTGCATGCCCTCGTCAGTGTCTGGGAGTTTGTTAAATCCACCGCAGGAGCAGTGACATACTGGTCATCAGTCCTTTATCTCTGTGGTTTAACCAGGTAGTAATTAGTTTCACTGTGACAAATACTGTGTACATGGGAAGGAGGTCTGTCCTAGCAGCTGCCATCTGGATAGACTTTGAGTGACATCAGAGAAATGTGCACAGAACCTGCTAGTACGAATGTTTGTGATCGGTACATGGATGATAGTTTGAGACTGATTATGCTCCTCCAGGAAGGGACAGTGTCATCTGAAAACGTGGCCAGATAGCTGCCATTCTAAGTGCTCCTGCTACCATCAGTGTATTCTGCATAGACTCAGGGTGAAAGGGTGTCCCCCCATGGCAAACCAGTCAACATGGTATCTGAGAAAGAGCTGCTTAGAAACCCTCTTCTCTCTGTTAAAATGTGCATCAACCAGCTGGTGCTGTGTCAGTTCACACCACAGCTTAACCGCTTCCTCTCTTCCCCAAACTGCGAACACACATGGTCACCACACAGAGCTTCCTGTTCATCAGGCTGCACTTGCATCTTAGGAGCTTTAAACAGATTCCAGAGCTACTGTCTCCATTGGACTGATTGGAATGAAGCGGTGTTGTCCCACTAGTCTGGATTCACTGACATATTAATGCACTTTATTTTTATCCTAAAGATGCTCTTTGATTTAATAGACTTATTGTCATTATAAAGCCCCCACGCTTAATGCAGTATATTTTAACTGACCAGCAATTTACTTTTAATTGAATATATTTCTGTATATGTTTTTAACTTTTTACATCAAAAATTTCTTTAAAATAACAATCACTTGAGCAAAATTGTCTTTTTCCGCATCTACCTGTATGAAAGTTAGGCCACCTCAACACTCTATGTGTACATATGCAAAGGACACACTACCTCAACATTTGCTACTGCATGTGTCTGTCTTAATATAGACACACTTTTTTAAAACTCAAATTAAAGAAAGACAAGTCTTGATTATCAATTTTTGGAGGAAGCCCTTTATATAGTTGCTTTAAATTTAGTATCATCTGATTCATTGGAGAAATTAGGATTCTGCAGTCTGCAAAGAGAAACACTCACACAGGAAGTAGGACGTCTCCGTGAGGAAATCTCCTGCAGGTAGAGAGTTACGTAGGAGCTGAAAACGTCTGCTGGATCATCTGTTTTAAACAGACTGAATATTACTCATCTGAGAGGAGATGTGCATGTGAAGGTACAGCTGCAGACCCCAGGAAACCGACTGGTCTGCAGGTTTATGATTCATTGGTTTTCTTTCTGGTCCTGAAGGTTTTCTGATGAACACGTTACCACATCCTGTTACTGACACACATTCATATTCATGCAACTGACTAAACAGTAGGTTGTAAACACCTTATTTCTTCTGACTTCAACCTGATCCAACTGCTTTTATTAAGAAAAGACTTTAAAATGAGCAGTGTTCATAAGATATACTCAGTTCAGACTGTGGCCCTTACCTCTCTGTTCCATTCCTTTAAATTACTTTTGATGTGAATTTAAAGTTGTATTTCTTATAAACAGCAACTCAAATATTATCAAAACTGTACCACCAGTGTACTTGCTGTTGGATTCACAACTAAAAATATCTTGTTATCTGTAACATGAATAATAAGAGAAACTCCCAGTTTGACTTTTTGACCAGTGCATCGTGTCTCTCATGCCATGTGTTACGTATGTTAATATAACTTGTGTGAAGTGTAAGTGATCATATTTACGAAACGTTGCTGAACTGTGGTGTGTGTGTGTATGAAAGAGCATAGTGAGAGTGAGAAGACTGTATGGAATCAACTCTATCACATGGGTAGAGAAAAAAACCCCAGCAGTCAGCTCCAAGTGCATAGATAGGACAATAATCATTTTCTGCATGTTCATACTAAGCCAAGTAGCTTTTTTGCCCTGAGAAAATGCAGATTGTATTTATTGATTTTATTTTTGAAACACATTTTTAATGTTATGGAATCATTAAGAATTAAGGTATAAAGCGTGTGCATTTATTTGTACTTGTTTAAACACATTAGTTAATATACTTGTATACTGCATTAAATGCTGTTATCTGCATATGCTATACCAATAATATGACATACAGTGGCAAAACGTTATAGGGACACAGGAAACCTCTTAAATAAAATGAATATTGGCTTCTACATGAGTCTGGTTAACAAATTATTATGTAAAAATTATAGAGGCACTGCAATTCCTTTGCCACCGTATTTTGTAAGTTTTCAAAATGATTTTGATGCCCCTTTATCCATCATATTCTTTTTTGTATTCATGCCTGGTTTCAGTAAGATAATATAACATTTTGGAATAAAAATACAAATGAGCAGTCCAAAACTGGAGGCCAGAATAGCAACTACCTCTACAGAAACACTGAACTTCCCAGGAGAGCTGACATATGCTGGAATAAAAGTGATCCAGACTGCACAGAATATCAGCATGCTGAAGGTGATCAGTTTGGCCTCATTGAAGTTATCAGGCAGTTTCCGAGCCAGAAAAGCCAGAATAAAACATAAGATGGCCAGAAGGCCTATGTACCCAAGTACAGCCCAAAAGCCTACAGCTGATCCCAGAGCACACTCTAAGATGATTTTGTCCTTGAACTGGGTAAAATTCTCAAATGGAAAAGGAGGAGAAATAATTAACCAGAGGATACATATAACAACCTGAATGAGTGAAAGCCACAACACTGAGTCTCTGCTGTGCCGGCCCAAACCACTTCATCACATTACTGCCTGGACGTGTAGCCCTGAAGGCCATTAACACCACGATAGTTTTCCCCAGAACACAAGAGATACAGAGGACAAAGGTGATGCCGAATGCTGTGTGTCGCAGCATGCAGGACCACTCAGAGGGCCGGCCGATGAAGGTCAGAGAACACAGGAAACACAGAGTCAAGGAGAAGAGCAGCAGGAAGCTCAGCTAAAATTGTTGTTAAAGTGTTCTGATGTGTTACCCTGTTGTGTGTTGATCTTGCTGACTTATACTGATGTGTTGTTTAACGATGTTTTGCTAGTTGGTTGTGTGCTGTGTTTTGAACCGTAAGTCTGAATTGTATGTGTGAGACTGACCCTGTTGGAAATGTGATTGTTCAAGAGTCCTGATCTGATCTGTTCTGAGTTCTAAATAAATGACCGAGAAGTCAGTGTTGCATTGTGGTCATTGTAAAGGACACGCCCAAGTGCTATCCAGAATCGTGCAGTGTATGGGACCTGGACTAGTCGCCAAGTGCTACCCAGAGTCGTGCGGTGTATGGGACCTGGAGTAGTCACTAACTGAGATCAGCATGGGTGCTGGTGCCCTGCTAGCTAGTTTAGCTGCCTCAGTATAGTTAGTCTCTCTCCTCCACGCCGGGGGTCATTACAATATGATAGAAACTCTGCCTCCTTCTTTACACAGGCATCTCTTCTGTCATTGGACCAGGACTCAGGGTGGCATCGCTCACAGGTGATAGAATCTGAAAAATTATATTAAAGCAGGTGTCAAACTTGCACAGTAGATTTCTTTGTTTATTTTTTAAGTGTTCCATGACAAGACAGACACTACATTACTATAACTTAATAAATACTAACCCCATTTCCAGAAAAGTTTGATGCCTTCAACACAGAAAAATGTGTGTTCTGGAAGATTCCAAAATTAGCAGGTTAATTGCTAACAGGTGAGGGCATCATGACTGGCTATAAAAGGAGCATCCAACAAAGGCTCAGTCATTGCAATTAAGCATCATAACCATGATGAATATAGGCCACATGGGCTCCAGAGATCTTTGGAAAACTGCTGTAACTTAAAACACTCCACCACTGCTTTCAGAAATGTGACCTGAAACTCTATTTTACAAGGAGAAAACCAAAGATCACTTCTGTGTATTCAGTCAGTGTACTTGACTGGCCTACCTGCAGTCCAGATCGGTCTGCTTTTAAGATTTATGGCACACAGGATCAGCCACCGGTGACCACAGTGTGTGAAGCAGCTGAAGGGGACAATATACCACTTGCAAATTTGCAACAATTAGTATCCTCAGTTCACAAACAATTAAACAGTATAATTAAAAGATAAAGTATAACTCTGTCACAACTTTTTTGGAGTGTTCAAGCAAATATATAAATCGCAGATTTTAGTTTTAATTGCATTTTGAAAAATGTCCCAAATTTTCTGAAAATAGGAGTTGTACACAAGTTTGCGACAGTTAGATTATAATCAATAATTATTTGGAAATTCTAAGTGTTTCTGTTATTTTATTTTTAATAGCATCTTTGTAATATCAGTTTAAGAAAGTAATTTCTGAAACTGTAGGTGATAAAAGTTGTATCAAGTGACACTCTGAAACTAAAATCATCAAATCAAATCAAATTTTATTTGTATAGCGCCAAATCACAGCAAAAGTCATCTCAGGACACTTTACAAAGTAAGGTCTAGACCTTACTGTTATCAATATTATTACATAGTAAAAACCCAACAAATCCCCCTTGAGCAAGCACTTGGCAACAGTGGGGAGGAAAAACTCCCTTTAACGGAAGAAACTTCCGACAGACCCCGGCTCTTGGTGGGCGGCCTTCTGCCTCGACCGGT